AGCGGGGTCTCGCCGCCGCGCCGACTCGCCGTCACGCTCTGCTGCGCCACGCCTGCGCGCCACCACACACATTTTGACAATGAATCGTCCAAACTAATACTAGCAACGTTTTTGTACAATTTTATTATCTATAACATTTCTTTAGTAAAACAATGCAATTTCAGGATACACTAGTATTATTCAATTGTAATAAATATTGTATAATATATTGTAATTTACCTGCCATTGGTTTTATATTCGCCGTAGGAGGATCTGAGGTGACTTTCTCCGTTGTGGTTTGCTGTTTACCCGCGGAAGATTGATTCGCTAGTTGTCTTTGAAGCATGTTCACTTTTTGGAGGAGAGCTTCTACTTCTCGTGTTTTCTCTGTTTGTACGTCAGTTTTTTCCTTTTCCAGACGCGACAGTCGACCGTCGTATTGAGATTTTAGCAAAGCTATTCGAACCTCGAGCTCCTCTCGCGTGCTTTGCTCGATGGCACCAATTTTGCTGCGTAACTCCTCTACCTCTCGGTTTAAACTGTTTTTAGACTCAGTGAGCTGTACTATTTTGCTCTTTGCTTGTTTTAAAACTTGTTTTGCTTTCTCTTCTTTGTCCATATTGGCCGTGCGCAACGTTTCCAGTTCTTGCTTGAGTTTTTCGTTGCTCGCCTTTTCTCCTTGTACTTGGCCTTGAAGCTCACTCAATTGGTCTTCCATTTTCTTAGAAGTCTCGGCTAACGCTACGCCCGCGGCGGCCGCTTCTCCTTCACTTTTCTTTTTATCTTCGTCCACGGTTTTAACAAGTTCTTCATATTGTCCTTTATACTTCTTGGCAATTTTTCGTATTTGTATTTCTTTAGTTCTTATATCGGTTAATGAAGCATCTTTATCATTTAAGTCCTCTAACAGTTTTACATTGGTTTCCGAGAGATTATCGTGTGCTGCCTTTATTTTAGATAGTTCCTCTGTAAGACGAGCCATATCATCTTTAAGTGTCTGTACCTCCTCGTTTAGTTTCCTATTTTCCTCAACTAATTGGTTTTGTTGCCGCGACAATATAGTGTACTGTTCTTCCAATTTGGACTTTTCAACTTTTAAAGCCCCCAATTCCTCGTTGACTTTTTTAAAAGCTTCTTTTTCATTTGTCAACATTTTGGCAAGAGTTTCCCGTTCATTTTGTAGCCGTTTCCAATCTTCAGGGCTTGTTTTATTAGCACGCTCAACTAAAGCATTAACTCTTGTCCTCCACCTTGCACAGTCAGATTTAAGAGATGTGTTTTCAGATTGTAAAGTTTCGTTTTTGGAAGTTAAATCAGCTACACTTTCTTGCAATGGATATAATTGCTCCTCCAAAGCTTTGGTAGCTTTAGAAAGTTCCTCTACTCTAGACGCCAATGTGTCCCTTTCTTCTCTCAGCACTCTGTTACTATCGGTTATAGCATCGAGGGTCTCTACTTTCCTTAAGATATCGGATTGCCTATTAACTGTTACCAAACTAACTTCATACTTTTCTCTTTCGGCAGCAAGTGTTAATTTTGCTTCATCGAGTTGTTTTTCAGTTATTTCCAGCTGTGATCTTAGTCTCATAGTTTCTGCTTGTAAGATATCAAATTTAGCTAGGGCTATATCTTTTTCTTTTCTTAGGAACTTCACAATTCTGTACATCTGTTCAGATGACTTCACATCGTCTTCGTTAACCGACACACTCATATTTGAATCGTTGGCAGACTCATTAAGACTTTCGGAGTGTGAACGTGATGCATGGGCGACAGATAACTGTGTGCCCAAAGCCTGGATTTGATCATGTAAGACAGAATTTTGTTCACATATGTCTTTAAATCTCTGTACCAGTTCTTCATTTTCTTTTGTAATAGATTTTTGCCTCTCAAGCCACGAGGCCTTTTCTAATTCCAATTTTTCAAGGGTTTGATTCTTCAATGCCACTAATTCATTTAGTTCATTTTGGACCCTAGATAACTCTTCTTTGGTTTTACTGAGTGTTTGAATATCAGAAGAATGCAATATCATCTCATGTGTGTATTTGTCCTCAGCTTTTTGGACAGCCTCAGACAGTTTAGTGATTTCAGCTCGAGCACTTAACAAATCGGTTCGATGGGTCTCCAAATTTGATACAGCAGCTGCTAACTCTTGCTTACAATTAGCTAACTCAGTTTTCAGATTTGTATTGATACTGGCATACTCCCCATTGTTTTGGAGGGATAATTCAGCTTCTAATTCTGAACATCTTTCCTCTAACTGTTGTACTTTTTGAGAATATTCAGTTAGTTTCATTTCAGTAGCTGTTTTGTAACTCTCATATTCAATGCTAAGGGTTTTGATTCCTTTTTCCGCGCCTTCAGATATGTCACAGTATTGTTTTATATGCTCCTTTGCGTTATTTAATTGATCTGTGAGTGACTTAATTTCACCATCTTTATCAGACACTTTATTTTCCAATTCCTTTATTTTTTTCAGTGAATCTAATGTACTGTCTACATTAGGATCCAGAGCATCTTTGAGCTTCCTAACGAGGTCCTCATTTGCTTTATTCTTTTCATTTAAGTCATTCCTTAGAAGGGTAATTTCCTTTCTCATTACATCAGCTGCCTTTTTCTCCTCTTCCATCCTCTGTTTAGCAGTTTCTGTTTGTCGTTCAAGGTGAGCGGCTAGTTCCCTAAATCTATTTTGCTCTTCTTGAAGTCTCATACGTATTGCAGAACATTCTCTTGTAGCTTCATCCAATCGCGATTCTAATTTGGTGCGATTTTCTGTTTCTAAACGTTCTACACTAGCTTTAACAAGTTCCAAATTTTTGAGTAGGAGGGACTGTCCTTGCCTTTCACGATTTAGTATTTCTTTTTCAGTTTGTAGTCTATGTTCAGTGTCTTTTAATAATTTACATTCAAGTTTTAAGTTGTCCAACTGTATTTCAGCAGTGGCTAATTTGTTTTGAGAGTTTAGTGCCTCATCTCTTAGGTGCTGCAATGACACCTCATGCTTAGCAATAGTAGCATTATATGTTTTATTTTTTTCTTCCAGTGAGGTAATTTGCTTCTTGTAAGTTGCAATATTCGTCTGTAATATTTTAAGTCTCTCATTATTAAATTCTGCCGTAGACGCGTACTTGCTATTTGCAGCTGTTAATTTTGATATTTCTTGTCTCATATTGTCAATTTGTTCAAATAGCATCCTCTCATTTGTAACTTTCTCCTCCTTATAGGTTTTGAATTCTTCTTTCAGAAGCTCAAGTTGTTTTTCTGTTTCATTGTATTTAATTTCAAAGGCTGCTGATACATCTGACAGTAAAGGTTTAGAAGTTTTCTCTAATCTAGTCTGATCCATCTCAAAGGAATCTCCTTTCTCCAAATCTGAAGTGTCTAATTCTGAAGACAATTCATGACGCTTCCCTTTCATATGGTCGTGATACAACTTTTTAAACATATCACGTTGTCTAATAAGACCAGTAACCATTTTTGTTTGCCTATCTTGCGCCTCAGTAAGCTCTGATATGCGTGATTTTAAAGTGTCTATTTTATTCTGCATTTCCCCAGTTTCAAACTGTTCCTTATGCTTTTCCAGCTCCTCTTGTTTATCAGTTAATTCACGAATCATTCTCAGAAGTTTTTGATTATTGGATTGTAATTCTTGAATATCACTGAATGTTACAAGAGTTTTGGACATAATTCGTGAAGAATTATTGTCTGATGCATTTGATGTGTTACATTCAGTGTGAGAAACATCATGGTCACCATTTAATAAGCCACCTCGGCCATGTTCAATTTCTTTTAACAAAAAGCAAACCTGTCTACCCAAATCTGCTAACTCTCCTTTTAATTTGCCATTCTCTCTGTTGTAATGATTAGATAGCCTCGAGGCCTCATTGTAATCATCTCTTAGCCTGTTGCACTCTATTGTCAATAATTCGATTTGCTGTGTTAAAGCAGAATTGCAATCTAATGTCTCTTCATACTCAGCCCTTTGTTTTTGTAGCATTGGTGCCCTCTCTTCCAATTCTTGAACAATGTTATTGATTGTTGTTGTTAGTCTTCTAGTTTCTTCCTTTTCTCGACACAAATCATCAGTTACTTTAACTAATTGTGAATAAATCTGTGTTAAGGACATTCCAGATTTTAAAAGTTTGCTTGCAGTAGCCGCAGATGGCGCCAGATCGTTGAGCGCCATATCTAAATTCTGTGCGGCCGCTGCTTTAATCAGGTCATTAGCATGCTCCAATTCACTTTTTAGTGATGATATTACTTCATTTTTCTTTTCCATTAATTCTTCATGGTCTTTTTCAGCTTGTTTGTATTTGGTTTCTAAATCGCCATATTTCTCAGTGGCTTCATTTAAAAGCTTTTGTAGCTCACTTATGCCTTCACTAAGTTCTGTAGCCTTAGCTTCAGAATCATCATGCATTGTTTTTAATAAATCAGCAAGTTTAGTTTTAGCTTCAAGTTCTGTTTTGTAATTTTCAGTCATTTTCTTTTCTATTTCTCTTTGTTCCACTAATCTTTGAGTAAGATTTTCAGCGCGATCATTTAATTTCTTCTTCATTTCATTGAGTTGTTCAATGGTGTCATTAGCAGACTTAAGTTCTTCAGTTCTTTTGGATAATTCTGCTTCTAAACCGACTAAACGGCTTGTATTATTTAATCTGTGTGTTTGTAATTCTGAAGTTAAACTATTAACTTCTTCAGTGAGACTAGCTATTTGAGTGTTCAAAAGAACCCTTTCTTGTTCCATACGTTTTTCACGATATTGTAAAGCTAATTCTTTACTTTGGATATCATTATTTAATGTTAGTGCTTCACATTTTGAATCAATAGCAGCACGCAGTTGTTCAGAAAGGGAAGTTTCATTAGCGATTAACATCTCTATTTTGGCATTTCGCCGTTCCAGTATATGGGTCAGGTCATTTCGTTCATCAACTGCGGCATCTCTAGCATTTTTAAGAGAAATGATCTCATTTTCCAATTGAACAATTTTTTCATTTGCTGTATTCAGATCTGCAGTTAGAGTGCCTACTTGCTTTTCTAGTTCGGCAACTGTTTCATCAGCAATTTCTAATTTTTTGGCTGTTACTTCATATTTTGATTTAAATTCTAATATTGTTGCTTCTGCTGTTCTTATCTTATCATCTGAAAATATGTAACAGTAAAATATATAAAATGTACAATAACGAAGATATAATTGGGCTGTCTAGCTAACCTAACAGACCTGAGGTTCATTCATGTATTATGAATAAATGTTTAAATGAAACAGTTATCACTTATATGTAACCTATGTTAATATATATCTTAATATGTATTCTTTCTTCTTTATCAGTTTGAATTTATAACATTGCATGTTGAGATATGGTAAAAGTGGGTAGTGTAATGGGTAAAAAAATCATGGTATTTTGCACAATTACTCAATGAATTTATTAATTTTTATTTAACTAGTTTAACAATGGAGTAGTTCAAGATCACTAAAATATTCATAAAAGTGTAGTTGCTACATATATAAATGTTGAGTTTTATGGTAAAATCTTACAAAGGAATATATTTTACAAAAGCATTGCTGCTTCATGCATACATTTGCAATGTAAAAATTAATGTGAAAAGATTCTAACAACCTCAACTAAAGGACTGATATAATTCAATTGACATAGTGAGAAGTTGTTATGCTACCATAAAGCATACAAAAGAAAATGGAAAGATATAACCAAAAACACAAAACTCTGATTAGTAAAGACAGTTTTGAAAAACATACAATTGATATTGCCAGCTAATGTTGGTCAAAACAAGATTTATTGAGATTCATTTTAGGTGCAAGTTTTTCTTTTGGTAATACATTACAATATAGATTCACCGAAGATAAAACCAACAATATAGACAGGAATGGTTAGAAAACATTTCTTGCTTAGTTAATGCACGAAAATGTGATGAGAAAAAAATGTGTTCAGCAGTCTTCAGAACAATACATACCCACAAAATATATTATTAATGTTTATGATATAACTAAAAACTCTATAAAATTTATTATTAACAGTATGAACAAAAAAGAAAGCTTCGTTTATTACAAAAAGGCCGGTTCCTTACCAATTTGTGTTTTGCTGGTTTCTAGAAGAGCCTTGGAGGTCATATATTCCTCAAATTTTGTATCAATATATGAATTGATTTTATTTGCGACGCCATTTGGTAAATTGGCAATCTCGGTTTCTGATAAAACATTGTTTAAGTGATTTTTATCACCGGCTTCCACACTTTCGGCATCCATCTTTGTCGCAAAACTCAAACGCCACCCATAACTGACCATAACCAAACTACCAAACCCATAAAGAAATCAATCAGTACCTCCCTAAGACTAAAAAAACTGCCATAAACACTGATCTGGTTAAATGGATTACACTTTGCTGTTTAAAGAGAGCTTTTGCTTTGTTCCAACTTTAATGCGCCTGTTGACTTGAATAACAGTTTATTCTATCTTTGGATCCACACTAACATCACAAACTGTTTAGCACCTAAAGATGGCAAAAATAAATAGAAAAATACCAATCCATTTTCCTCAGAAATCAGTGTAAATATATATATATATATATATATATGCCAAATATCTACATCGTAGATTGAATCTTAACCTGTTGTCTATAAGGTTTACTTATTAGGATCGTTCAGTCCTGTCCTACAAACCTCTCGAGGCTGTTTATGGATGGCTGTAGACCATCGTTTAATTTTGACATCTCTTTGACATCTTGACATATTCGTAGAAATGGAATCAATGGAGGAACAACAATGTTTACATCAATGTGAAAGTTACATTCAAACCCACAATATTCAACTGCTATTAAAAGATTGTATTGTTCAACTTTGTTTAAACAAACCTGAAAATCCAGTCACCTTTTTGCGACAGTATTTCCAAAAATTGGAACGGGTAAGTTTCATAAAGGTTATAACTGTGTCAATAATGAAATTATTAACTATTAGAGATGAAGAAAAATACAACTATGATACTAAATCTTGTGATATATATTATAGCAATAAACATACCATGATATGTTCAATCTATAATAAATAAACAATAATTTGATATTCATAAATATAACATTGAGCTATATCTAAATTCTGTTTATATCTTTATTTGTTTTGTTTAATTCATTTAAAATTAATACGTTCCGAAATATGACTCATGGATTCAATAAATGTTGATTTCATTCTGAAATAATAAATAATAGAACTTTTGATTGTAAGGAAACTTGTAGCATATAAAGATAATGTTTCTTTATGAGCCATGCAGTATTTTCCAGCAATGTATTCGACTAGTTTAAGTATAACAATCTACACATCTTGATTATTACCTGCTGGTGTCTTATCTCAATTTTGGAATTTAGAAACTCATACAACTTATTTAGGTGTGGGTGAAATAATATTAAATTAAGGTCAATGAACTAAAAAGTTACCAAAATACAGTTTATTTTGAATAAAAATAGTGACGAGCAGTGTTAAGTATATTTATTTATATGTTTTTCTTTCTTTAATTGTGTTAAATAAGTTGTTGTTGTTATTTCTGACTGTAACTTTCCACAATGGCTTTACATAATATCCAAAGTCAGGTTGTGGTTGAGAAACTCTATTAAATAAAATTGGCCCAGTAGTTAATATTAGTATAGATAAAACATTCTTAGAGCTGTTTTTACTTTGTAGGAGCAAGTGAAGGCGGCTGCAGCGGCCGCCGCAACGTCGGAGGGCGAAGGCGATGGCGAACTATCCCCACTGCCGTTGCCCGCCGGACAGCCACCGCGCCGCCGCGGTGGCATCAGCGCTGAACCAGTCACAGAGGAAGATGCAACCAGTTATGTCAAAAAGGTATATTAGTTTCGTAATGGACAATTGCATTAATCAGATCACAAGTAGTACATAAATGTTACATTTCAGAAATGCTTCATCCAATATACAATGTGTTATTTCAGGTGGTGCCAAAAGACTACAAAACGATGGGCGCCCTGTCGCGTGCGATTGCATCCAACGTACTGTTTACTCACCTCGACGAGTCGGAGCGGGCCGACATGTTCGACGCCATGTTTCCGGTGCAGTGCCTGCAGGGTGAAACTGTTATCCGCCAGGGTGATGAGGGCGATAATTTCTATATAATCGACTCTGGCGAAGTGGAGGTATCCTTATCTGTTATTTAAAGTACTTGAAATTATATTGTCAAATCATACCTGTATAAACAAAACAACCTTATAATATTATGAAGCAAATGATCTACAATTACAGTCACTGAAGAATTATTGATGAAATAATTTTGCATGCCGAGCCAATGTGAGAGTAATACGCCAGGGCGACTGCCCAAGGCCCAGGATCGAAAAGGGCGACACAGTCTCACATAACCTTGGTTTCATCTCCCTCTCCAAAAAGTGTTATAATAAGGGGTGTTGTAGAAATTTCGCCCAGGATGCTAGTAGTACTGTAAACAGTTACTTACAGAAAATGAATATAACAATATAGCATGTTATTTTGTAATGGGGTATAAGTAGTAAGTACTGCAGGTGCTAGTGAACGGGGAGCTGGTGACGACGATCGGCGAGGGCGGCAGCTTCGGCGAGCTGGCGCTGATCTACGGCACGCCGCGCGCCGCCACCGTGCGCGCGCGCTCGCGCCTCAAGCTGTGGGGGCTCGACCGCGACTCCTACCGCCGCATCCTCATGGGCTCCACCATACGCAAGCGGCGCATGTACGACGAGTTCCTCTCCAGAGTCTCCATACTAGGTATCATTCGCCGTTACATTATTTATTTTATTACGTTCACCAAACACCTTAAAACTAAATACATAATTACAAATGAAAATAATGAACTAAAGAACCTAGGTTTTAAACTGAAGTAGATGTACACAACCTGACTATATAAGGCAACTATGGAAAAGCGATAAAGTGCAAGTATAATATACTTAACATTTAGTTTTTGTTTTCAGACTTAAATCTTTAAGGCTAATCAAATAGGAAAGAAGAGGTAAAATGTAGGGATAAACGTGTTTATTGCAATATTTTATGTCATTATTATCAAAGATTTGAGACTTCTCGAGCGACGTCATTGTTTACGAAAAATATATGATTTACATTATAATTTTCAGAGAGCTTGGAGAAATGGGAACGTTTGACGGTGGCAGACGCACTAGAGCCGGTTTCATTCAACGACGGCGAGACTATAGTGCGGCAGGGCGAGCCCGGGAACGACTTCTACATCATAGTCGAAGGTCTGTTATACATCTATACTGTACTTTATTATTTTTAATATAATAAATCGTAAACACACACTACTTCGTGGCATAGGATGTCAGCGATCGCAGAATATTTTTGAATAATTTTCTCTTTAATAAAACACTCTACACTTATTATACGCTTTAGGCAATATATTTTCACGCTATTAAAGTTAGGGGTAAATAAATTGGGCAAAAATCTTCATGTGAGAAAGGGACCATAAACTACAAGCTGCCAACATCAAGGAAGTAAGATTGCCATGGTACAGATCACCGTACAACAATTATGTTATCCAATGTCAAAGGCTTTTGTTGTCATTTGCGAATTAGACAAATGTAAATAATAAAATAAAGTTTTTATAATATCATGCGGATGTAAACCACGGGAACAAGTAGTGTAAGCTATGAAGGTTTGTGTGTGTGGTGCGCAGGCACCGCGGTGGTGCTGCAGCAGCGGGGGCAGGGTGGAGGCGAGGGCGCGGGGGAGGCGGTGGAGGTGGGGCGGCTGGGCCCCTCCGACTACTTCGGCGAGATCGCGCTGCTGCTGGACCGGCCGCGCGCCGCCACCGTGCGCGCCGCCGGCACCCTCAAGTGCGTCAAACTGGACCGCGCCAGGTAACCTAACCTAACCTATGCACCTCTCAACTTATCTTATTAATATTATAAGTGCGAAAGTTTAGATGAATGGATGGATGTTTGTTAGAATTTGTAGCCTAAACGGCTGAACGGATTTTGATGAAATTTGGTATAGTTGTGTTCTTCCGGACTACCAGAAAAACTCACTTTTGTTTTTCTGCAATTTCACGCGAACGGAGTCGCGGGCGAAAGCTAGTACTACATAAACAAACATTACTTTTATTTCGATAACGATAACTAATTTTCACTTTAAGTAAAGGAATAGCCATACACTAAGAATTTGAGTAAGAATAATGTAACTTTAGATTACACAGAATCGTTTTGATGTTGTTAGGATTATTGCTTGCGATATATTTCTTTTAAAGTTTAATTTTAAATGATTGAATTAATTTTAGATGAGTCACCCCTAACTGAGAGTAGGCTCTGAGCTGCTTAGTGGATTGGGGACGAGCAGTGAGCTGATTATTGTTTTAATGTTACTTGTTAATGTTTCAGATTCGAAAGGGTATTGGGTCTGTGCGCGGATATTTTGAAGCGCAACATCGCCCAGTACAACAGTTTTGTGTCACTATCTGTATAATATCCGGAGTTTTCATTTATCACTAAATTAATTGCAATAAGCTGACAAAACGCTCAAATTTATCGCAGTTTAAATGTTAAGGAAGTTTTATCCAGAGTCGATAATACACTTTTGTTTATGAAAACTTCATTAGGTGACTTAATATTTATTTTATTCCTAATTTTATTTGAGGCATAATTAACTTTTAGTTGTTGTTAATATTATTTATTTACTAACTTTCATTTATTTTAAGTGTGTCTGTTTTCTATGTAACCTAAATTTTAAATAAATATTGTAAATGTTAACGACTAAACAAGCAGTGCTTAAATATTCTATTTGTTTTCATATTTTAAGTCAAAAAATGTAGATAAAATGAAACCTGTAAAAATAACATGTATCAAATATTATTATTTTGAAAGAAAAAAAAATGTACGTAAATCTAAACAGTAATCAATGTTGATTATTTAAAATAACATATACGTAAAGTCATGGACAAAGTGTTATCTTCCACCAACAAAGTGCCTACAACTTATATATCTAACCTAGATATTGTATTTCCTATATTTCTGTTTACTCTCTTGCCAATAGAACGTGGTTATTAATAAAACAATTATATTGAAAAAAATAGTCACTAAAACTATCCGATAAACTATTCCGTCCACCTTAAAACAAATTGTTGGGTAATAAATGAATAATAAAACCATAACTTCAAAAATAATACATAAAGTACTAAAAACCATGATATTCCAAATAATTCAAAGTTTTATAAACACCTATGTGATTTTAAGTTTTTAGTCATTTAGAATGATTAGTATTTTTTTTTTATGTGAAATCTGATCACATACAAGAATTGAATAAGACAAAGGTATATTTCTTATTACTTGAATGTATAAACATTTGGGTCTAAATTAAACCATATGTCTACGACATCTCAATGCAATATACTGCATTTTGTAAAATACTTCTAATAATTCATTTTGTCTACATTTTCCATTTCTTTGTTTTGTAAATAAATGAATGTTAACCTTTTAAACAATTTTATTTTCAAATATCCTGCCTTCGCTCGTCAATACATTGGTTAGTGGTTAGAGCAGTATCTTTCACCACTCACTATTATCTGCAGTAACACTGTTTTTGTAATGTAAGAAAACAATGAATTCCAGTTAATAAAAAAATAAATATATATTACACAAAGCAAAATTTGAATTTCTGGTTTGTGGAATTTAATACTGACATACCTTTTTCCACTTCTACCAGACTACAAAAAGTTTTATTTTTAGACAAATTTAACAACATTTAAAAAAAATCGATTTTTGTCAATTGAATCGTTTTTACACAACAGGTCATTAACAGATTTAATCTTTTCTTAACCTATTTCATTTGAATAATTTGCTGGGTCGCTAATTTAGTTAAAACATGAAAATCTTCATGTATATGAGATCTCCAAAACTTACATCTACCCCATACTAAAGCTGGAAAATTAGGAGATGATATACCTTGAAATATTCTAGCTATACTTCTTCCTGTAAACTTGCAATCTTTATAGATGGCTATTAACGCGCGTATGTCGCTAACAGCGCTATCAACATCTATTGGCCGTTTGGGCAATTCAATGTTGGTTGGAAGATCATTTTCCCTTTGAAAATAATGTCTGATGGTTGATTTTAATTCTTTAGATTTCTCTTCTAAAGTTTCTTCAGAGAAATTACTATTTTCTACAGAGTAATTACAGATATGGCGAAACGCTTTATCAATTTCTTCAAGCTGATATAAACTTGTTTCTTCTTGATTTTGGACAGATTTGTGCAAGTCATCTAAAATATTATCTAGCTCTGCCGCCGATAGATCACCTTGAGCTCTTATTCTGAAACCTAAAGTATTGAATTCAACTTTAAGTTCAGATCTTTTTGATAGGCCATCTGTAGTTTTCCATTCCAGATTTTTTAATTGATATTTAGTCATACCACTTTCCCAGCCAATAGCAGCTGCAGCTTCTATAACATTAAACTCTATTACACTACTCTTTGTAATATTTGGATCCTTTTTACTTTCAATGAGATAACCCATTGCAAGAGGAGGGCAAGTTTTAGCTGCTTCTAATATTTTTAGTGGACCACCATATGACATTATTTTACATATAGTGTATGCATTATTCAATACTTTTATATAATGTTTTGGGTGCAACTCAACATAACACAATAATGTTGCAATGTTCTCTGTAGGCATATCTAACTCTTCAACTGTGCTATCAATTGGTATTCCAACTTCATGGCCTTTGCATCTTGAGTTTGGCTCTTTAGGACATTGACATGAAACAAATACTTTTTGGAGCAATCGTCTTATTACAGGTCTATCAACTGAATTGGCATAAATATGTTTTAATAATTCATTTTTGTCATTGCTACTATTGTTAATAAATACATGACAAAAAGCTGGCAACCCATCTCGACCAGCCCTTCCAACTTCTTGTACATAAGATTCAAAACTTGCTGGCATGTTGTAATGAATAATACATCTTATGTTTGGTTTATTTATACCCATACCAAAAGCCACAGTTGCAACTATAATTTTTAAAGTCCCATCCATGAAATGCTTTTGAATTTTTTTCCGCTGCGCAGCTGTCATGCCAGCATGATATGCTTCAGCAATGTATGACATCCTTTTTCTTTTTTTATTAGCCTTTTCCATGTTAATTTTTCCAGGCTGAGATAAGCATGAGCGCAAAACTGCTGCAACTCTCTCACATTCATTTCTTCTTATGCAATATACAATTATAGAATTGAAATCTATTATTTTGTCAGAATTAAGAAATGTTACAAGTGCTCTGTCCTTATCTTTTTCAAAAGACGTAGATAAGTGAAGATTATCTGGAAGAGAAGGATTTTCTACAACACCATTCATACCATCAGGGACATGAATGTGATCTATAACACTTTTAATAGTAGACCGACTGGCAGTCGCTGTTAAGCCAAGAATACATTTAACATTCAGCTTTTCTCTTAAAATGCGACAAATCATAAGATAACTTGGTCTAAAATTGTGGCTCCATTGTGAAACGCAATGTGCTTCATCGATACAAGCAAATGCTATTTTTGGTAGTGATTTAAAAAGACCCGCAAATCCATTAGAAGAATCTCCAGATATCAATGCTTCTGGTGATATGAGAAGAATATTAATTTCACCCTGTTTTAATAATTCCATGATTTTACGCCTTTGTGTTGGTGGTTGGTTCATATGCAAGCATCCTGCTTTAAGGAAATCAGGCATACTTAACACTTGGTCTTCCATTAATGACACAAGTGGTGATATCACCAAAGTTATGCACTTGTAATGTTGACTATAAATATAAGCAGGTAGCTGATAACACAAAGATTTTCCACTCCCTGTTGATAAAATTAATAAAGTTGACTTGCCACATAAAATCCGCATAATTGCATGTTCCTGTCCTGGACGAAATGATTGATGTCCAAACATCTGCAGAGAGTTATACAATTCCTCAGTAGCCGTAGATTCTTCAGTAAATATAGGGTGAATACTATTATTGGATTTTGATATTGGGGTCTCTTCCAGTAATTTTAAAAAATCATCAGGTATTTGACTAGATGAATATACACAAGTGCTGAGTTCTTCTTCTATTGACTCTTCAGTCTTACTCTCTTTTTGAACAATTTTCTTCATGTCTTCTAAAGTGGGTATTACATCATCAGAATTATTTTCCAAAGGCAAAAGTGAGTTTTCTTTGTGTGCTCTGCAATATCTAGCCATGTGGCCTGTATTTCCACATTTGAAGCATGATACTTTTCCAGATTCTGGGAATTCCATTCCAGAATGCAATGCTTTTTTATCTTTCCATTGTTTTTTCTTGTATTTTGAAAAGTTAAAATTTTTACGTCCCCTAACAAAAACTTTTTTTTCTATATTTATCTTTACAAAATTATCATTAATGGTTCCACTCAGAATTTTTGATTCTAATTTATCAAAGTCTTGCTCTGCAATATTTTTATTTGTAGATGCTTGTGAAGTTTTTATTGCATCTAGAAGGTCAATTACTTTAGTTGTTAAAGGCATAACTTGTTGTTCCATACCAAATGGCAAATACTCTCTTATATCAGGAGGGCTTTCGTTATTACAGTGAGCATCTTGTGATAATGTTTTCTTAAGATTTTTATTTCTTTGTCTCCTTACATTCTTCTCTATATTTGTATCAATTTCAGTAGTATTAATCTCAGTGTGTTCTTTGTGTCTGTCACTTACTTGATCTTCAATGCTACCATTGTCTGTTTTTCTCTTTTTAAGAGCTGGCTTAAGTTTTTTAATTACCACATCTTCTTCTTCAGATTCACTATTCTCTATAAAATCACAAGCTTTATCTGTGGCACTAGACAATGATATGTTGCTTAAACCAAATTTTTCTACCACAGATTTTTCTTTAGGAACACTGTTTTCTACAATACTAAATTCTTTGTTTAAGCCACTGGCTCTTTCCAGCCATTCTGTATTAATTTGCCGTACTGAATTAGTTTTTAAATTGTCAATGGAAATCTTGCCTGTAAAATATATATTATCTTGATGTTTATTACTGTCTGTTTTAGCCTCGATAATTGAATTGTTTTGTAAAATATCACAGGAGTCAGAATGTTTTAATTCATCACTATCTAATATTTTGCTATCAGTTATGTCACTTATAAAATTTTCTTTATTGTTTCTAGACATTTCATTATCATCAAGAGACTGTGATTGAGATTTGGCTAATGACAACTTTCTAGGATTTCTTATTGAAAACCTTCTATTCTGAAATAATTTCTTGGACAGATTTTCGATAAATGGGCTTTGGGATGTTGCAGCTTTTTGCGATTTCGAAAGTGACAACAACTTCTCCAGTTGCTGACCGCTCGGTAGAGCTGGTAATAGTGGTTCTTGATCAACAGGTCTAACTTCTGTCACAAATTCGACGTCTGGTTTAATTTCAGGAGATCCAAATTCGTCTGCTTCAACTTCACAAATAGATAATGAGTTTTCAAGTGCCTCGCTTTTGAGGTGAAAGTACTTTTTATATGCGTATTTAATATTAGAAGGTGCTTCCTTGATATCAAATTTGGAGGGAGTTCGTGCATACTTAAGTTTAAAGTCTTTTTCCCATTTTTTAACTATTAACTTACATTTTAGGTATGCTTTATCCGTGTTTATACTTTCGACGTTATCCATTGGAATCAGAAAAAGTCTTTAAATATTGTTGTTTGAAAATGTAAGAATCAATTTTATAGTGGCGGTAAAGATCGTGTTTGACATTGACATTTTTGACGTTTTATATTTTCCTTCTTGGGCTCTTGGAGTTTTAAGAGACAAGACCTGTCATATGTGCGGATTTCTCTCTTATCTATTAAATAAATACAAAGAGTAAGACCTAAACTATATAGCTTGTGTCGTTTTGGCTAAATTCTTAAGTTAAAAAAGACGTTTGAATTTTACGCATTAATAAATAATGTCATCCTATGTCACCTTCCCAAAATAGGACAGAACTTATTTTCTATAGTTTGAAGATAAATATAAAAAAAAGCTTTCTTTATTACGGAAAAATATTGGAACTCATTTCTTTGCGCGTTTCAATCGCCTTTATATAACATTACTTTTGAATTGAAGTACGAAGAAACAAAGTCCCGTGCTTAGTCCATTTCACTATAATCAAAGTCTCGATAACTCATTAAAAAAATCGATGTTACTATTATCGCCGGCTCCAAACTTAAATGAACTTTGAAATAAAATGAAAAGTACGGAAACGTTTCAATGTTAGGTTAGGTTCAACCAATATCAATAGTGTCGAACTGTTTTCACGATTTCCTATCGTTCTCTCGTAGGCATTACAATTACTAATGAGGATTAAAATTAAAAGATAAAAATATACTATTGAAATAACAATTTAATATGTACATATACTTACAACATTTGTAAATTACTTGTAATACTTTTTTCACAAGTTCTAATTTAAAAAAAAATGAAACTTTTTTCGGCATACAACATATTTGCTTAATTCTATAAACTACTCTTAATTCTAAAAGACTAGTCTGAATTATTGTTCATTGCTGCTGTAGTAGACTTATTAAAATAAAGTATTGTAATAGAAAAATAAACAAATAATTTCTGATATTTTACCAAGGATAATAAAAATAATTAAATAATCAGTCAAATATTAACCATATATAATGTTTAACCAATGATATGTTGTCATATTCTTTCTAAGCGACCACTCCTCACGTTTAATTTACCAATGGTCCCTTTAGGGTCTGCTGATAAAGAACTCCAGTCACTTGAAATACAATCCCGAAATTTATGTTTCCCACATATTTGTTTAATTTTAATATTGTCACTACTTATACACGATCCTAATATATCATAAAATACAACATTCAAACTATCAATCCACTCTCTTAGATCATGTCCAATTCTTTTGACATTTGAAAATGCAAGTTCTTGAAGTAATAAACTATCCTTTGCACTTGGAAATAAATCAATGTCTTTTATATGGGAATAATTCTTATATGAATTCATTGATCCACTATGAATTAAACTTGTTTCTTGATGTGACATTTCTTTACCTGAGAAATATTCTAATGGAGTTACAAGGAATTTTGTGACAGCTATCAGAACATAGTTTTGTTCTAGTAAAGCCACTTTCCACACACCTGGCAAAAGCGGACTCTTCACATTCCATTTGATGAAATTTGTTAAATTGTTTTCTTCTCTATAAATTGTATTTACATCGGCTATAACACCTGCCGGATCCAGCAATACAACAGTTAAGTTCTCGTTAAGTTTTTCAGTCTGGGAGAATTGATATATCAAAACTGGTTCAGACAGGGGCCCTAAAATACTACCGAAATTTCTAAAAGTCATTTCTTTTTGATCATAATCTGAACTAACTTTAAATATTTTAACAATATCACTATATTGACTTTTAGAATTGATTTCTAAATAATATTTTGGTTTATACCAGGTTTCAACAAATACTTCATGTTCATTCTGAATTAAAGCTTTGTATAAAATTAAGTTACCTTTGTAAACATCTGCATATTTATACAAATTTATTTCATGAACTTCACCAAGTTCTATAGAACATTCTTCTTGTAATAAGATCTTGGCATTTTGGCGTAGAATGCTTCCCGCGTGAGACAATAGAGTATCGTCAGTACCAGCGGGCAAGTCCTTAATGTCATAAATATTTTGCCAATATCCTTCTAGATTGTGGATGCGGTAATGGTCTGTAAATCCTATTAATTGTTCAACTCTTGTTATAACTTCTTGGTTTATAACAGGCTCAAATTTACGAGCAAAAAATAATTGTCGATTGAGTGTATTTTGTATTCTTGGCCAATCTTCAGTCCTGAAATCATTCGGCGAACACCCACACCAATCCACGACATGTTTGTATTGACATTTACAACCTAATTTTCTTTTCCAGTTTGTAACATGAAGATTATTGTCCACATATGTGTTGCAAAATTCTGAATTCCTTAAGACAGTGTGAAAAAACGATTCTGCGGGTAATAGGGTGTGTTGAAAAATAATGTCTAAACCATTCAATAATTCATCTTGTTTCCCAACTACATATGAAACAAATTCAGGTGAAAGAGCTATCCAATCACTGCCACCGTCTACAATGATTCCTTGTGGCAATTTCCTTTCGCCAACGCGCCACATGTGAGTTTCACATTCAATAAAAGTTTTATCCAAGCCTTGCTTTTTAATAAATCTTTGTACTTCACGACCATGTGATTTAACAAAATTTAATCCTTTATTAACTGACAGAAATGTTTCCAATTCTTCCAGAGATTTAATAGGGAAATCACTTTCACTCAAATTAATAACATAATCCCACTGCCAACCTAATGACATGAAATCCTTCATTGAAGAAAGTAGCATCTTCAACAAAGACGCTCCCCCCCAAATAGTGGCGTAACGATTTGGCGCCAACCTTACATTTGGAAATTCTTTCTCTAGTGTAGATAATTTGCGATGCATGTAATCTTGTCTCTGAAACAAAAAAATAAAAGAAAAACGTAGTACGTAAAGTCGAAAGAAGGCAGACATTATTATGTTTTACTAGCTTTTTACCAAGACTTCATCGACACAAAATTAAAAAAAAACAGCTTAGCAAGTAAGAACATGTGTTCCACCAGACTATGATCTACAATAGAGTTTAAGGCATTTTGGAGATACATAGTGATTATCATACAAAATTTTCGCATTTCATTTGTATGAAAAATATGATATAAACGCATTAGTGTATACTCCATTAAATTATGTCCACTACAAGTTTAAACTATTGGACCGATATTGACGCTTATGCTTTCCTTGACAAGCAAAATATATTTTTAAATTCAAATGGTTTACACAAAATACTGAATATAAACAGGTACAATTTTCACATCAGAAAATCATATCAAAAGATAATAAAAATAAGTTAATACTCTAATACAACAAAGATTACCTAACATATTAATGAGACCATAAGATAAAGAAGTCTTTTAAATTCATAAGGGGACTTTTCATCAAAACAATGTTCTAGTTATCACACAAAACTAGAACAACCTGTTTTATGCTTATGTTATGATAAGAGTATTTGCATTTATTTAATTGTGCAAGTTTTTAACTTAACTGAAATGACTAGAAATAACTTTGTACTATATTCACAAAATTAAAGCGTGCTTAAAACTTAATATTACCATATTACAAAATTGTATTGTGAAATAAGGTTATAAACTCTGGATATTTCCACTAAAGTATTGACTTTACTTACTTTATCCACATGTATATAAAAATAATGATGACTTCTATAGAGTACATTTATCAGTCTGTGAACTTGTCTTAATGCGCGTCCATTTAACGTCAAAAGGAATACAATACGAACTGAATCCTTTTCATTACTTGATAGTTTTGGAGTAACAGGTACAAATTCTGAAATAAAATTGCCAGAAAAGATTATTTACAAATGAATGAAAGCTTTAATACCAAAGAGGGTTTCTTTAAACTGAATTAATTAACATATGACAATTTAGCCTTATGGGAGGAGTTTTGTATAAAATTCTTGCTTTACTAGTAATACAGACAGTAGCTATTACTGTTTATTTTCTCTCCCTTCTAGTGTTTCTAAATTAATTATAGATTTATATCCATTAGAATAATCTATATTCATCAGTAGATATTAAGGCACTGATGGTAATGTTTATGGACAAATAATTACTGTCGCAAGCTTTGTGGAAGGAATTTAAAATGTATCATACTTGTTAATCCAGTTTCATATATATTCATTGTAAAATATCCGCCACAAATCTTGGTAGAATTTCCAGGACACTTCATATCACATGATGCTTCAGTTGTTTTGGCAGATTCGGGAGGAGGAACATCACCACAAAAACATTCTGAACTGAAAAATAAGTAAATGATTAAAATCATAAGTTTATGTCATCCCTACTATACTTGTATCTATATTATATGGAAGAGCAGCACACACTGGTCCGACCCTCCATAAGGGATAAGGCCAAGTGAATGATGATTATACTTCTATCTATCTATTTTTGCAGAAATAAAGAAAAAATGTTCAAGAAACAAATTTAAGAACAATTAAAAATGAAAATGACTCACGCATATTGTACACCAGCATAAGGGAACCCAGCTTGAATGCATATATCTAAACAAAATTCAGGTGTATTTGTTGTAGCATAACTTCCATAGAAACTCGACAATATTCTTAATTTCTTTTCATCTAAATAACATCCATAGTATTTTCCATAACTCATTCCCTTTGAGGGACATTTGTTGGGCAATTTTATTGAATAAAAATTTCCATTTTGTATTAGACAAGTCTTATTAACAATTTCTTGTTTACAACTTTGAGTTTTAGCTCGATGTATAGCAGAAACAGCTTCCCTGCTTTTGATGTCACATAGAGGCTTAAAATCTAATTCTTCAATTCGCAAATGCACAGCAGACTTAATTTGAGACAAAGTTTTAGAAGATAAATCTTCATCATCAGAATATGCATTATTTATTTTCCTAGCCGATACATCGCCAAATTCATGGCGCTCTAATGAAGTATGGCCAAACTTTTTTAATAAATTGTCGTTAACTGTTGGAAACAGGGTGATTGAAATTAAAATTTGAATGAAAAATGTAGTTAAAACCGTAGCTCCTAACCACTTAGCATACTTATAAAAAAACTTTCGAACGTTAAAGGCCATTTCCGACTTTTCTTAATACCGATTTAACAACTATTTCGATAGTACGGAACGTATACATTATTTTGTATCAATAAGTAAACTAGAGCCCTGAGATAAGAACAAAAAACATACAAAACACACACATTTGGAATAGTGATGCGATATACTACAAGCCAAAACGTTTTTATAAAAATTAACAAAATAGATAACAAGACAAATGTGACAGTTTGGTGACTGCGACATTGACATTTGAAACATGATACATGAATCAGATGATTTCATTTCCATAACAATATGTTAAGTTGTTTAATATGTATCTAAAATTCGAAATATAGCCAATTGTTATCTTCCTTTTAGTGGATAGGGATATATGGTTAGCTTTGATCATTTCTGTGCGTTCTCACACTATGATTTGTTTAAACGAAGTTTGAAAAATTTCCCATTTTTAGATTTTTAATTCGTGCTTGATTTTATAGTGATAGCACGTTGGCTGAATGGTCTTGGTCTTGGGTCTTACCAGGACATTTCAACTTAAAAAAAAAGGAAAGCAAGCTTGACTTGATGGGACACAGTTGCCTTTCACTCGAGTGACTCGAGTAATTTTTTATTACTCGGACTCGAGTTATGAGTTTATGACAACTGGAGTGACGAGTGTCTCGAGTTGACGCAAACTACGAGCGACTCGTAACCACTCGAGTGGTTTATACCTAGCCAAGAAATATATTCTTAAAGCAATTTCAGTTAAAGGTACCTTTTTAAAAATACATTATTTCTGTTCTTTTGTTGAGTTTGTTTAAGCTTTTTTTTAATGTAATATAAGGCGGCAAATGAGCAAGCGGCCACCTGAATCCACCGAAATGGAAAGCGACCGCTGCCCATAAACATCCGCAATTCACACCTGTTTTCTGTGTGGTAATGGTATTAAATCGGGAAAGCCGGCCCATTCGTGCGAAGAAGATGAAGCGGGCTTTACCACTGTTATGCTTTCTTTAAATTAGCTTTTTTCGTTAACTTCGTTTAAAACAATATTAAAGCAACTTTATTATTATCTAAATTTAACTGATACAATTTAAGTGATATGAGATATGTGATATGAGAGGTTTCTTGATTATGTAGACAGGTTTAGTTAAAAGAAAAATTCTATTTTTATACAGTTTGCTTAAATTTTTTTATTAGCCATTACATTAATGCGAAAATGAATTTTCTATGTTACATTAATATTGTTTTATTCGTTTTAAAATTTCAGTTACTCGAGTTTTATGTTCCGAGTGACTTGAGTGAAAAAAATCACTCGAGTCCATCACTAAGCTTGACAAATTGACATTGACAAGTACAAGTTGACAAGATGTGTGAGTGCGAGGGACAGAGGTCCTCTTTGTGAAGTTCAGTTAATTTTTTTATAGAATTTAAGTACGTAAATAATGGACATCAAATATGAAGATACTGTTCAGTGCCTTTTCTTTAAGGCTTCACAAGATAATGTTAATTGGGATGAGTTGTGTCAGACTTTAAATGCAACGGCTTACGCATTATCCAAGGGATACATTTGGCATCGCGATGAGTTTAAAATTTGTCGACCATTAATAACAAGCGAATATGGTAAATAATATGTTATTCGATGTATATATAAAATAAAAGGAAAATGTGTAGGTTAAGTTAGGTTTAGAACATGTTTAAACATATTAAAACAAAACTAAACAGGTTAGGTTGTTTGTAACATTCTATAAAATAAAAAAAGTATTTTTTAGAAAAATTGTGATTGTGAACATAGTTGTTGTTAGTATAGGAAAGTTCGAAACAAATTTATCTTATCTTTGAAATAAATTACGACCACCCAAAAGAAAAATTCATATCAATGTAAATGAGATCATTCCCAATATTTTTAATTAAATTTTATGGAATTTCGGAATGATTCGCTATTGTAAAGTGTTACGCCTTATTTTGATTATAGATACACCATCTCACCTTGAAAGCAAAACATGTTTTGGAGACAACATAGAAGATGAATGGTTTATAGCTTATTTAGTTTTCAAATTAACTGAAGTGCACAATGGATTAATTGTACAAATAGAAGATAATGATGGGGACTTTCTATTAATAGAAGCTGCAGATTTTTTACCTATATGGGCCAATCCTGAAACAACTCGGAACAGAGTAAGTTATTCCATTTAACAACAAAGGTATAGAGATAAAAAAAAACCTTTTAGTTTGATAAACTAATGTCTTCAGTTTTTCTAAATTTTTAAATTATCATACAATAAATAATAAAATGGAATTGATATTTAATATTTTGCACTGTATTCATTATTATTATTTCAGGTATTCATTTACAATAATAATGTACACCTAATTCCACCAACTTTGGCAGAACTTAAAACACCTTTAGAAATAACTGATGCACTAAAACTGATTGTGGATCATCCAGGAGAAACAAAAGCCTCTTTACAAGTAGAAAAGGCCATTCTTGAAAGAATTGTAGCCTATCCTAATAGATTGAGAGAACTATGTCACATGGCAACAATCAGTCTTCCCATTGATGTTGCTTCATTACTAATACTAAAACCTGCTCTTATATCTCATCTTGTGAACTCCTACTGTAATCATGATATTATTGATGAAAAAAAATGTAAAAAACCTGATTTACACAATTGCATTGATGTGAGCATTCAATTTACAAAATTTCAATATGCAATGATCTTAAATTCAAAGCCAGTAAATAGTTCTGGGCACAGGAATCCATTGTTACAAAAGAAAAAAAATGAAATTGGTTACAAATTAGCTTTTGGCTTTCAAATCATTATGAATGAATCAAAGAGAGACAAGTTTTCTTCCCTAGAGTATAATAAATATATAAATAATTTAAAGAAAAATAATTACTTTAATGGTAATATTGAGGGTTCAAAGGATTACAATCAGTTATTACTAAAAGCCCAGGCATATTTCAAAGAAACAGAAAGTCCAGTGATTTCATATATTTACGAAAATATAGCACAACTTATGTCTACAAATGAATACAAAGAACTAAAACAATCTTTGCAACAAAACAGTCATTTATATCTGTTTGAAGAAGACAGTGACAATTGGCTAAATGTAAGTCCTGATGAAATAGATGATTTTTTAAACAAAAACTACAGAAAACAAGTCCAGTCTGATGACCTTACAAAACCCAGCATTGTCACATCTGGTTTGTCCAATTTTCTCTCTCAAAGATCGGATTATGAAGGAATTGAAGATAATACAGATGAACCCGAAAATGGTGACATCCAATTTGATTGTGATCAGTTTATTACAACACTGAAAGAAATGTTGGATGTTGTAACACTAAATGAAAGTGATGATGACTGTGATTTCAGTGATATAGAAACTCAAGACTACAATGTTGTAGAGACACAACTTGATCAAGAACTTGCATCTAAAATATGTGAAGAGAACAAAAATTTTAAAGATGATTCATGCATTTTATCAAACTTAGTGAATAGTATGAAAGAAGAAGGTTTGTCGGGGCCAACAAGTAATATTTTAAAGTCAATAGGAATAAAAAAATCGGAAATACTGGATTCTGATGATGATGATGAATTTAATTAAGTGATATTGTAAAACGATAAGATAGGATACATAATTTTTGGGTTTTTCATGTTTACTTTCTGCAACGGATCAATATATCATTGGAATTTTCCTAGAGATATAAACCAGAGTCTGAAGTAACTTATGAAATTCGTTTTATCTCCGAAAAATGTCAGGTTCCTGAGGGAAAATTTTTTTCTTATAGTTCGGCTTAAATACCACAGACAATGTTGCGGGCTATGGCTAGTATAAAGTAAAGAAAAGATCTTACCAGCGTTTTGTACATTTATTTATAGTATTTGTTTTTTAAATGTATATGTCAATTAACAAGTGATTCTTTGAAGGAATAACATCTCCTTACAAAAATTGGACCCCCTTTTTAGGCAATTATAATACTACAATATAAAAAACATGTTACATATGCTTAATTAGTACCCTACCTATACACCACTAAAACAACCACCTCACTTTGATATAGCATTATGCATTTATCTTAATATAACAGAATAAAATCTTGTGTATAAAGTTAAACAAGGTTTTTGTTATTTTTAGGAGATATAAAAAAATGTATTTTAAATAACTTCAGGGTGATGATGATAAATTAAAGATGTGCATAAGCTCCGCCGGCCACAACCAATGTTTCCCCAGTCATATAGCTGGCGTCGTCAGACGCTAAAAATGCTACAGCACTTGCTATCTCATCAGGTTTTCCAAATCTTTTCATTGGCACTATTGATAAAGACTTGTCTTTGCCTGCTTCAGAAGTTGTTATCTGTAAGTCATAAATATGAATTATTACAAAACATTTTAAGGTACTGCAAGCTGGATTGATATTTCTGACAAAATTACAATGCAAAAACGTATCCTCATATGTTTTAACTTTTGCACTTAATGAAATTATAACTAGAAAACACTACATTTAATAATATTTCCTTAAGTTGTTGTTGAATGTATGACAAAAAAACTTACTGCAGCAGCAAATTTAGTTGCAACAATTCCTGGTGCCACACAATTTACTCTTATGTTATCATGCACAACTTCAGTTGCAATTGCTTTTGTCAATCCAAGCAGGGTAGTCTTGCTAACACTGTATGCACCTAAAGGCTACAAAATACAAATAACACATTCTTAATACAAATACTTATAAATCCTTGTATGAAAATCCAATAACTTAAACTGCATTATCAATGAACATTATAGATATAAATTCTGACTTCATCTGTTTTGATGCAAAAGCTATTGATTTTTTTTAATTCTGTGTAGATGAAGTTACAAGTGATAGCTAGTAACTAGTAAAAACTTACTTCCATTGGTTGATATGCTGCAATTGATGCAACAAATACAATATTTCCTCCACCTTGTTTTATCAATTCTGGATAAGCTTCTTTAGCTAACAGCCAAGCACTTTTAACATTGACATCAAATATCTTATCCCATATGTCTTCTTCTGTCTGAAGACAAATTATAAAATAATATTAATGATTCAGTTTAATAATGTACATACACATTTGCTGTAAAAGTAACACTATATTTTACATAGATGGAGTATTAGTACATAAGTTTACCAATGTTTCTCCCAATATACATGGCTATTAAGCAGACCTTGTGCATGAAATAAAATTATTAATAAACTTGTTTTCCTGCATTCAGCATTGAGGGTATACCATTGATTATTGCTAGTGCACCTCCTATTCCTTCAGTACTGTTTGGGCTAAACCTCATCTAGGATGATACCAAATGTACACCAAATATTTTTAATTGTACCCACCTCTAAAATAGGTGATACAGACGGATTCACTGCAGCATTTGAGACAAGTATATCAAAACCTCCAAATTTAGATTTCGCCTGTAAAAAAAATAAAAAAGAAGTACTGTAACAATAATTAAACAGAAACATTTTAAATATTAGCGAAATTAGTGGAGTAAAATAACACTCATAAGTATTTTTGTACTTACAGTTTCAAATAACAATTTCCTGTGCTCTGCGTTGCTGACATGGCAAACAATACCTTCAACATTAATACCCTCATTCCTTAAACTCTCTGTTGCTTTCTTTACATTTTCTGCCTTTCTGCTACTTATAACAACAGAAGCTCCTTCATTTCCCAACCGTTTTGCGATAGAAAATCCAATACTGAAATATTAATAAAATTCCATATATTTAAGCAAACCGCAAAGAAAGAATTTAATAATATACAAATTAATTTAACATCAGAAGCAGAATTTTTTCAAAATTGATAAAAATCGTGCACTGGTATTTAATATTTCAGTTTTTAATGGCTTGCTGGATTACTTTTTTTAACATACGTATAACTACATAAACATTGTCACTTACCCTTCAGAAGATGCCGTAACAATAGCCACTTTTCCTTTTAATCTGCTTGAATGAAAATTTGCGCTTGCAAGGTTTTGATGTAATGAAGCCATTTTATTAATTTTTGTAATAACCTTGTAATTTAACATTACAAATAATTATCACTTGTCTTTATCTAAAAAAAATCAAATGCTTCCTAGTTAAATGATAAATTCTCCAGCAATCAGCACGCAGATATAATTTGCTTTCTTATTATAGGCTAAGTAATACCAAAACTACTCATACCTATTACACCGGTCAATGTCCATTCCATTGGATATTGGTCCAATTCTATCATTTGATCACTTGCTGATTGTTGACATTATCAACTCAACTTTACAACAACTTTGCAATGGATTGAAAACTGATAAGTAGTAACAGTACAAATTGGTAGAAATTATAAATGTGGTAGGTGGAAATAATGAGACACTGCAAATAAACTATTTCTTTGGTTTTACTCTATGACCATGATCGCCCTTCAAGTCAAGTTGAAGTTGTCAAAATAATTTTATCAGAAATTATTCTAATTTTCACGCCATTTATTCGAGATTATACGTAGTTTTTCATTACGAGAACAGTATTTAAATTCAGTAGCTGCAATAATATTACAGAGAGAGGCGTAGTTTAATACATTTAAAACACATTTTGAAATTGTGTTAGTATAGTTGCAATATGCTTAAGCAATCTAATGTCTGGATTATTGTATATTTGTGATTACGGAAATAATTCCGATTCTGACGAGTATGAAGTCGAGAACAAGTTACCAGAGTTAAAGAGGTAGGTAGCTTTATTATGTAGGTACATTTATAAATACAATCCTGTTCATAATACTAGAACATACTATACATGAAACAGACACACAGTTAAGGTAACCCAAGGTTGTTTCATTTGTTCAATTGTTTTGTGCAAAAAGATGCTTGTGCTTTAAACATTTACTGTATTCTTGCTACCACTGTGACAATAATAAAAAAAAACTTAACTTGATGTTTGTTGTAGATCCAAAAAACTACCTGTGCCAAATCTTAGCCATATTCCAGCAGTTTCAGTTGAACAGCATATTGATAATCCTGATCTTCATAATGGCCGTGTGAGGAGTTTTCCACATGTAAGAGGGAATTGGGCAACCTTTGTTTATGTTAAATGTAAGTTTTATAACATTGTGTAAATGACAAATTAAAAAATGGTTTGTTTAATATGGCAAATAACTAAGTTTATAAGTTATAAGCTTAAAATGGCCCCAGATAAGCTTTTATCTATTTGGTTGTATTAATTATAAGTGTGTCTAGCCATTTTGTTTAGTTCATTTTGCTTAATTTGTTTTAGATGATGATGAAGAATCATTAGTGAAGTTTGCAACCAAGTTACAGAATTTGTTATTGGGTGTGAAAGACTTGTTTAATCTCTGTGATGATTTCCACTTAAGCCTATCCAAAACAGTTGTATTGAATTATCACACCATTGTGCCTTTTACTCAGAGTTTGAAAGAAGTTTTTTGTGATAGTGAGAGGTGGTTTTATTCAATTTTATTATAAAGTTTGAACTAATCTCAATTTTTTTAGTTATGTGTTTGTATTACTAAGGTCTACCTAATGATGAAGCATTATAAGACTAAAACCAAATAACCAGCTTAGAATAGTTATTACATCTAATGGATTATGATAAATTAATCTGTTTTTTTTTAAATAGTGTTATCTCATATTAGTATAAAATATTAATATAATTATATTTCCCAATTATCATTTTGTTCAATTTCAGGTTTTATTTAGGTTTTGACAACATTGATGTTTTATGTAATGAAGAGAAAACTCGGACATTCATAGTTCTAAAAGCTGACTATTTTAGTGTAAAGAGTTTAACTTCTCTTGTGAAGAAAGTAGATAATGTACTTGGGGAGTTTAAATTAGAAAAGTTTTATAAAGTTAGTTAAACATCAATTTTTTTTACATTATAATTTTTGATAATCTCTGCTAAGAGTTTTTACTAGGATCTCCATGTAACCTCTTGTTCCTCGGTTGATCTGTGTTTTATTTAGCAACATGTTTCATAAAAAGGCATGAGGTTATTTTTTGACACACAGTTTTAGATAAATGTATAACATATGATATTTATTTCAGGAACCATCATTTCACATAAGCCTACTCTGGGCCAAAGGCGACCATAAAGGAAAACTTGAGTCTTTGTTAGAGAATGTAAATAAAGTTATCAGTACTGAAGTTGTGAGAAAGCTGGAATCTGTGCTCATAGACAAAGTTTATTGTAAAAGTGGTAACAAGTTTTATAAATATTCCTTAGAATAATACTGTAGCAAAATGGCTACAGAGCGAAATCTTAACAAAGTTTACATAAACCCCAATTTTAATTCAGGATCTTTTGTTAATCCAATGTTAATTCCTAATCAAAACAACATGTATTTTAATCCTTACTTTTCTCAAGTAAATTTACAAAGTAATTATAATCAGACAATGAATACAACAAAGAGGCGAATATTTGTCAACCCCAATTTTATACGACCTAATAATTTTGCTAACAATTCCAAATCATCTGCACCAAATTTATATTACGAAGCTCCGGTTTTTAACCAAAATGATATTGAAAATTGTTCAACCTATTATAATAAACAAATTGTGCCTGTTCAAAATATACAAGAAAATCTAAAGGTAAACTCATCACCCGCCGTCACTAAGTCACGTTATACATTGGTCCGTAAAAATGATAAATGTACTGCTAATGTTGAAAAGATCACAAGAAATACAACAGTTAAAATAAGTAAGTACAAAACAGTGCAATTAAGTTTAATCAAGAATAACATAGAGCAACCTAAAAAGCCAGAAGTCAAATTACAACAAACAACATACAGAAATCGGTTATTATCAAAGTACAATTGCATAACAAAAGGCTCATATCAAAATTCTAATGTCAATAGAACTTATACCAAAATTAACAAACAAACTCCTACCATAAGAAAGTCCATTGAAGTGAAAACAACAAACATAAAAAGTCCTAAAGTTAAGAAAACTTTCTTTAGTCCAAACATGTCAGTCAATAGAAAAACAATATCAAAAAGATTTAAAAAGAATAATATCCCTTGTCCATTATTTACTAAATATGGAAAGTGTTTGAGGAATATTCGGGGAAATTGTGAATTTTTACATGATAAAAAACATGTGTCGATTTGTAGGAAATTTCTTAAAGGAATTTGTCACGACCCCACTTGTCTATTGTCACACGAATTGAGCGCGAAAAAGATGCCGACATGTTACTTCTATTTAAACGGAAATTGTACTAAAAATAACTGTCCCTATTTACATGTAAAGTTAAACAGTAAAACAAAACTGTGCAATGATTTTCTGAAAGGTTATTGTGAGAATGGTGACAAATGTACCTACAGACATGTAAATAAGGAAGTAAAAACAGCTATCAAACAAAACATGAACCAACAGCGTCGTGTCACATGTTCAAGTCCAATCATAGCACCTAAGAAAATTAAAGTTAAGCCAGCCCCTAAGAAACCTGTAGAAACTATCAAATGTGTGTCAGAAACTGAATGTAATCAGGACAAAGAGGACCTCGATTGCAGATACTTTAACAATGAAAGTCAAGATAAAGAACAAGATCTAACTTGTGATGTGATCAAACCGAGCAGATGTAAACTTGGTACTTTGCCATCATTTATTAAATTATAAATACATAGGTTTATTTTTATACTCAATTGTGTATTTTTTTAAATAAAGATAAAATATTAAAATGTTTTTACATTATTACTGAGCCTCTAACATAACTTGCACCTCCCATAAAATTGCCTCACATAAGCTTTTGTTAGGACATATAAGTGAAATCATAATTACAATTATCATTTTTATTTACTTTGACTGCAGGAAATTGTAAACTATTAATAATTACAAAATAAAAAATAAAGTTTTTTTTATGATACAAACATGTCTGTTGCTTAATACAATAGAATATCAATAATGTAGAAATCTTGAGATGGCTCATTTCTTAAACCATTTGGGAACTTTGCTCTTCATGGAAGAAGATTGCGCATCCGACGTTCTTCGGGATTCATTAGGTGTTTCGTCTTTTACTTTTCTGGTAGGTGCTCTACAATAGAAAATGTTATAAAAGCAATATTAGCTCAAATCTCTTTATATGCTAAATACACTCTAACAATTGTCTGTACATTCAAACAGTACAACGATTATTAAAGTATTATTTTATGAACTGAAGAAATTCATGCTTACCGATATTTTGAAGCCAAAATACTAGCAGCGTCGCTAGAAGTCTTTTTCAAATATATATCTTCCTTAAGGTAAGGCCTTCCACTGTTTTCATCAGTCCATTTAAAGTGCATTAGAACACAAGGTACGAATTTAGATTCAAGTAAGGTCATAGAAGGATCTAAGGGCTCTTTTAAAGGAGTGGTAACTGAAAATAAAAATATTCTTTCATATTTATTTTTTGCACATTTAAAATACTTTGCTTAGAACACTTACATATAACAAATGGCTTTTCTGGATTATGTAAATGTTCCTTTACAAAATTCTTTACATCTTCTATTTTTGCAGATGGTGCAAATATACCTTGTAAAATCATATGATCTGGAAACTGTATGCGGACTACAGCATTTTTATAAGAATTCTGTCTTTGTTCAGATGACTGAAATTAGAATAAATTGAATATGAAATATCTTGTTTATTATTAATTATAAACATAGAGGCAAATTATTGAATTATCAACTTAGAATTGTCAATTTTGGAGATTTTGTAATACTGCAGGTATTAACAGGCAGTAGGTAACACAATAAGGTTTACTTCAAGCCAGGCTAACATGCCATCACCTTTAATAAAAATTAGTATGGCTTATCCCACATATTAATTTCAGTATAAGATAATCTTTGTATTAACACATTGAAGATAATAGTTATGCAATTAAAAAAGGGCCATAGTGAAAATACCTAAAGCTATAAAATAAAGCTTAGCAAATAACCTGTCTTTCAATCTCCCCTTTCTGCGTGGATGTCATCAAGGGCATGTTTTCAAGTTGCTGTCGTTGCTGTTGCAAGTCGTGATAGATCTTGCGTACTTCTTCTATTGTTAGATCGTAAAAATCGTCCGGCAAGTCTTGTAGCTCATCCTCCAAGCCTTCTGGTGGCAAGAAAGCTATCGCTTTTTGTGCACCAAGCTAGAAATAAGAAATTTTAAAATGATTAATATATAAAAGATGTTTTTGAAAATCAGTTATTTTGTACAAGTTGTTTATTGGTAAAAATAGTCTTGGCCATGACAAAATAATTTTCAAATCAATTTAGCGGATCATGATAATGTAAATATGACTCACAAAAACAACTTCTTCTTCTATTTTTAAACGTCTCTCTAAATTTTCTTGTGAGAACTGACTTTCTATTTCCTTCTTATTACTATGTGCTGTAGATGTTGCCGGGATGTTTATTTCTTCTGTATCTACTTCCATTTTTTGATCACTTATTTCATCTTCAATATTGTCACTAACATTTTGTGCCTTTGAAATGGTTTCATTTTTGTGTTGTTCTTGTTTTATAGCTTGCACAGGATCAAAGGCAGTTGTTTTATTTTTCTTCTGGATCCCAGAAGGTCCTGGAAATGATGACTCTTTGTTTTGAAGTGGTTCTTGCTTATTAACAGATGATGCTGTGTTTCTTTGTGGCTCCTCAGTTTGAGGCCGTCGATAAACTCTTGAAACATTTGCTTGCCTAGAGTTATTTGTCATCATCAATTACATGTATTGAAAAATTAAGCAGTTACAAATTAAATAGTTAAAAGTCACTTACGTTGCTTCTGTTTTATTAAGCAACCTCAAAATTGCTCTTCCTGTTATAAGCCCTAAGTGTCGTATCGTTTTCTCTTTCAATGCATCTACACCTATCACTTCTTGTCTCATGTATAATATTGATGGAAGATCTAAGGACTCCAATTTTTCAGGAGCAAGTGTGAAAACCATATCATATAGTGTTGTGCTTGGTGAGAAATCTCCCATTTTTCTTTCTCCTGTAAGCATTTTATTGACATGAACATTTGTTAATCTTTCGGTTCTTTCAATGTGACCAAATCCAAACCATAAATATACCTTTATAATTATTTTCCTAATACTCTAATTTAAATACTTAAAACATAACAACAGAAGCCAAACATTGAACAATGAATTAAATAAATTTAAAGAAAAAAAATGTTACTAACAGGACCATAGTAATGTCAAACCAATGTTATGATATTTAAATGTGTTTAATATTTACCATCATCCAACATAAGCCCAATTGTGACATCAGTTTCTACTCTTTTTCTTTCAGTCTCAACCAGTTCCAGTGTAGCTTTATTCGGTAAGTTACAAAACCTTATCGTTGTCGTTAGGTCAAGAATTGTTTTGTGATGTTTCAGATCATAATCAGTGGGTTGAAATCCTTGTTTGGCGCAAACATCTTCTAAAACCTAGTTAAGTATATTAAAATACAAATCGTTGATATAATTCAATGCAATTCCAAAACAATAAATTATAAAGGGATATTGAGATAGCAATGACAAGCAAAATCGTATATGAAACAAACCTGTAAAATGCTGGTGTCGGCAGTGCAGTGGACCTTGACCCTTCGTCCATTGGGGGCAAGTACGACCAAGTCCCTAGACATTTTTATGCTCTTCTTAGTGTTAAACAAAATTCATGAAATATTTATTCAAATTGGAAATTCAATCAAAACGCCGGCATTTACAACTTACAAGCTGACACTGACAAAGGAATGTCATCTGTCATTTTAGAAATGAGGTGACAATGACGGCGCGGAATGCCATAGAGGAAGAATTCTTTTTTTGCATAAAAAGGCAAGATACCCAACAAGAGGAAAAGTTATTTATTAATTTTTGTCTGCAATTTTGTCCCTTTGAAGTTTAAAAAGTTTAGTAATAATTTTGTTTTTATTCGCAATATATTCTCCGGTTTATACTGTAATGAATTGGTGCACCAAGAGAGGGTTTCTAACAAAATATATTCAAATGAAATCTGTACTAACCATAATTTTGCGCTTTGTAGGCAGGCGTAGGCCTCAAATAAGATTAAGGGAAGGTATACTAATACGAAGGATTTGTATGAATAAAACAACCAGAGTATTGTCCAAAAAATATATTTATTGTAGTAGACAACTCGGGGACGCGCGCCCCGCGCCCAGCCCGTGCCGCGCGCGCGTCCCGCAACAACGCTTCGCTATCTACGTCCTTCTCTCTGTTTTAATAATTGGAATAGTTTATTTAATAATTACAATTTTTTTTATCGGTTGTATTTAATTTTAAAAATTATAAACTAACTTTGTTTTGTATAACTTGGTGTAAGAGAACAGCCTTAGGAATTGAAATGGGGTGGTGCAAAATGCACCTCACAGCACAGTTTCCATTTCCACTCGCGTCCGCTCTCTATAAGAAATAAAGGAACCATTAGCATAATTTAAATCACGTAAAAGCGAGTCTTAAGTAGAATATTTTAAGAATTGTAATTAAAATCATTAAAAAGAACAGGATTTTGTTAATTTAGCAGCAGAATTCGGTAATAGGGGGACCTCGATAAACTTATACCGTCTCGATAAGAAATATGCCCATGACCAACGAACATACATAATAAATGATTGAAAAAACTACTGTAGAACAGTCTATAATAAGGATTAATCCGTATTATGGACGGTTATTCTCAAGAATGTTACGGTCATTCTTAAGAATGTTAAGAAGTACTT